TATTGAAGTACTTAGCTGGTATCCATAAAATTGCACGCTATTAAATAAACATTCAAATCGATCATGTTCTCCTAGCAAGCATCTTTATATTGAGCAACAACATTTGGGGCTTAAAATTCAATTTTCAAAAACAACTTTTGCAGTTGCTTTGCCATTTGGAACTTTATCTCAATTAGGGTAAGAGTTTATATATATTAGAGACCTGCAATAAGTAGTTCTCCTTGTGTCCTTCGCTTCTGAAGCTCACGGCATAAATAAAATTTGATGACAAATTTGAACTACGCTCGGGTAAATCCGGGATGCTCTTAATGTTCTTTAATATAAACATATATTTTATAAAACATTGCGGAGTAAAAAGAAAACGATTTTGAAAGTAAAACACGTCAACGTTAACAATGAACACATTCGTCTACAAAATTCTTCAAAAGATATAAATATCACTAACCCCACACCATTTTCATACGTGCATACCTTTCTGATTAAAAGATGACCTGCTCAAATAGATCTTTTTAATTGACAGTCTAATAGCCGCATCATAAGGCCCTTTTTTGCATACGACTGCAATTGAAAACACGAAACGAAATGGTAATCGGCTGCAAGTGCAAAGGACATACAAACATTTAATGTATTTGCCAGGCTCGTGTTTAGATGTAATTGGGAAATACTTTTAAGCGCTTTGGCAAACAATGCCTTCTCCCGTGCTTGGGGTGGGACAGGACGAGACAGAATAATGCTGAGCCGCTTCGGTTGTGGATTGCCAAATGAGTTTGTCAATCAAAATGCAAATGTCAGTAGGAAAGTGACATAATCCCACTTGGGAGCTGAGCTAAGCCGAGCGAAACGAGCCGAAATCCCGGTGCGAGTTAAACCGTTTGACCGCAGCCGCCGAAGGCAGCCGTTCCACAGGCATCTGAGTGAGTTCCCGGTCTCGATTCTGGATGTGAGTCGCTACGGAAATAGCAACATATGACGAGGCCGGCGACGACATTTTGACGTGTGAGTACCGCCAAAGTGAGAGAGGGAGAGTGGGACGGGGATGACAGCGACTACTGCAAGTGCGACAGTGCGGAGCGGCGGGGGTGTTAAATTGCAATAATCGGCTCTTGAGCTCAGCGGACGCAGCGACAACGTTTATGTTTTATGTGCTCATTTATAATGCGCACTGCTCATTTGGTAATGGTTCGATAATGAGATGGCAGGAGAGTACTTAAAAGGCTGCCAAGGACTGCCACAATCCCAGGCCCTGCCTGGAAAACCGGACATCTGTTTGCTGCTTGTGTGTGCAAACACACACACACACAGGCTGCGGCGTACTCAGTCCAACTCCCAACACTTGTCCAGGTTGAGCCACAATAAATCTCAAACACTTTTCAAAAACCTTGTGACAGCTGTGTCCGATCTTAACGTACGATCCGTTTGGCTGGGAAGGCGGAGGCGGGGAAGACTTGGCTGGCAACTTCGATAAGCTCGCATGTAACTCTAGGCGCCACTCGCCGGGGGTCAACAGGGACCCATTGGAGACAGGCAACAAAATCAAAAAAACAATTAAGAGTGCTCCAAACGAAAGGGCCCGGCGAGGAGATACCCTCAAATCGAGAGCTGAACTGCATTTGTAAACATTCTGGCTTGCTTCTATACGAAATGTACCTCTAAAAGTGGAAGTGGGAGGTATCTTAAGGAAAATATTCTGAATATGTGGATGCTTTATAATTTGTGTCTCTAATTCTTATAAGTCCCCAGACATGGTAACAATCGTATGGATAACGTAGAAACGGGGCGAGATATCGATTATTTAAAAGAAACTCAAAATTTGTTTGTACTAGTTAGACAAACGTTCCATGCTTCAAAGCCCCAGCTTATATAGACTCTGAGTCAGATAGACAGATTTGGCTAGATAGACTCGACTGTTAAGTCAAGAATATATATACTTTATGGGCTCGAAAAAGTCTCACAACCATTATACCCTTTTTGCCCAACGTGTTCAGGGTATGAAAATAAGAAGCCCAAGTGGGAAAGAAAAGAGGAAACATCTAAACAACTAGCCAGCCACGACTTCGATGTGACTGAAATAGATAGACCTAGTCGTAGACCCGCAACAGACGCAGTCAGTGTCAGTCGCCAGTTGGCAAAAAAAAAAAATACAAAAAGAGAAAAAAAAAGAGTCATAAAAGTGAATAAGCCCATTCCCAATTGCCAATTATACTGCAGCAGCCCCACCATGACAAGACAAACGTTCCAGCTATCGACGATCGGAGCTGTTGTCAGGCAGTCGGCATAGACGCCATAGACCGGCCCAGAGCTGTGGCTTGGGGCAGCGGTTGGAGCGGAGTGGATTTTCACTCACAGGAGCTTCACGACGGATTCCATTGCTCGCCTTCCAACCAGCTTGTCTTCGCATACTACGATTACCCTCGAGCTGGCAACGGCTTCAGACGTTCAAATTCTCTGAGAGTCGTGGCACAAAACGCCTCAAGCTATTTTATATAATATATTTCATTTAATTTACGGCGCTTATCAGGCGCCAGCTCCAGAGACAATCGGTGACAATGGCTCAATCCTACTACAAATGAATGCCAACTATCGTGCGATTGGTAACAAACACACAGCCGCCAGACAGGCACACATAGATATTTACACACGCACACAAACACTCGACTCCGTGTCAAAACGATTGTTTGCTTTAAAGATACAGCCTTGATTATATGTATGTATTTGTATATTTTAAATTGCAACGATTTGAAAACTGAAAATGTCAGGCTAAAAATGACTTTCGAATCGAAATAAAATAATAATATTTTGAAGGCTTATAATAGTTATTATTGTTTAATATACAATAGGCAGACGATATAATGATGGCAAGAATCAGCTTGGTCTCTGAGACTTCTTTTGAAAGAAAGTATGATGTTATAATCTGAACTAAGTCGATTCAAACAGAATAATAAACTTAGCAGAAACTCAGATGCCCGTCAAGGTCTTTGTATTGCAATGAGTGAAGTAATTTGAATTATCTTAAACAATTAAATGTCGTTATTATTTACAAAGATTTGAAACGTATTCATTTTAAATATCTATTGACAACCCCGCAAGGGGATAGCAAATCTCTTTTACCTAAAACTTGTCTTTTTAGAGTTACTCTCAAAATTTGGCACATGAATTACTGTCGATCTCCTTTTAACAGAGACTATTAAACTTCACGTCTTTCAAATCGCCTTTCTCTGCGATTTTCAAGAGTTCAAAGAGCTCTAAGTCAGGTTTCAACTTGGTAATCCTTCAAAAATGAATAATTAAGGTTTTTACCTTTTAAAATCATTTTGTATAAATAAGAGAAACATTTTACTAAGTTTTAGTACAACCCCGGCAAACATAGAGTTTCTCCTGCTCATAAATGCAAGACCTGACTCTATTTGACTCAAATTTATATCTTTTTGCTATTAAAAAAGCCAAATTAACTTTATGTCTTGAAATGTTGTAGGAGACGTATGTGGTTACGAACGAAATTATACAGTTTGTAATTGCAATATGCAAATGAATATACGTTTGTCGACTGAAAGGCATATTGGGCCAATGGTTGGGCGCAGTCAGACAACAACAACAGCAACAACAGCAACAACAACCACACACAGCTTGACATTTGAAACTTGAAATGTAAGTGAAAGATACAATCCCAATCTGTGTATCCAGATACGCCATTGTCGTTCTCATCGACGTCGAAGCCACAGAGACATGGTGCACAGACATTGCCAACATCAGCCGGCCTAGACTTGAACAAACTAAGCTCCTAACTGTGATGATTCCCCTTCCAGGCCGGAGACTACTCGCATGTGCACATGATAAATGACGGCCTTTCGACAATTCCCTTCGCAATCGCATTTGGCAAATCGAAAATGAAATTAACACTTTTCTCTCATATAGCCCGAAAGTACGTAACATTACCATTCACAGATTTCGACTTGCCACCCACAAAACAAACTGTTCGGCTGCTTAATCTTATTCTGCGATGCTACTGACAGTATCTTTGTCGACATCGGTTGCGGTCAAATTGAAATTTAAACAATTTGTACGTCTTTGTCTGATAAAACTGACATCTTTCTAAATGCCGCACAAAAAGAGATACTGTAATGGTATTTAACATTGCGCTGTAGAGCTAAATGTGGAGAATAAATCAATGTAAATTCGAATTGTACAGGGTATACGAGTTACTAAGGAAGTTACAAAATGTTTTTGCAATTGGACAGAATAGTTTATTGAATTCGTTACGATTGTATTCTGGCAAATAAAACACCTCCATCGGTCGGTGATGCTATTTAGAAAATTGTATCCTTTAACTAGGCTTTTAGCATAAAATTCTATTGTATAATCTATTGAATAATGAGGAAGACACTCGTTTTGTCGACCATTATAAATAAAAATAAAATAAAATAAAAGGGACCTGAACTTGCCCGGTATGTGTAGTAAAATCAATTAATCTTCATTTTTAACAATACGATTTTTTGATAAATATGTATCTAAGTTTTCCGAGTAAGCATACTATATACTTTATGTATATAAATTACATTCATAATATTTCTTATCTATACAAATTTTAATTTTTTTTTTTCAGCTTTCTTCTTTGATTCGCTCGGTCTTACAAAATGATTTAGCAGTTACATTTATATATATAAATATATATATATATTTTATATTATATAGGACCAGTTTATGATGTTTAGAGTTAACATACATATATGAAAATAATATACATATGCATATATTTTATAATATATTTATAGATACATATATAAAAAAAAAACATTATTTTGAAATACATATATTGCTTCTTTAGATAAACTTAAATACATTAATAATTACAATTGAGAATAAATAAAAATGATAAAAATCTTTTCCTATTCTATCACATAGCAGTCAGCTTTTTTCCGCGAAGCAGCAGGGCTGACACTCGCTTTGCTCTTGGCTCGCACTCCAGCCGCAGCCAGCTGACGTTTGTTACTGTGCAGCCCTGGTGACTGCGTATTTGTTTAGTTTTGGTGCGAATACTTTTTGGTTTAATATTTAATTGTGTGCAATAAGCTGTGAATTTTGTAAACATGAGTGCAAACGACACAACGAAGCAGCTGTCGATTGTGGATATACGAAATTATATGCTGCAAAACGATGGCAAGGTGACAAACCATGCGCTTGTCAAGCACTTTAAGAAATATCTAACGCACACCCAAAGTGAGTCAGAGTCCATTCCATGCGAAATGCGTATCTGTGTACATATTAAACTACCTGTTGACATCATAAGCCAAGTCCTAACTAAACGCAACTGAAATCTAATTTCAGATGAGGCCGAGGCACGCAAACGCTTCAAAACATACGTGACGCTGCTGTCAACAATCAAAAACGAAAATAACCAAAAGTATCTAATACTGCGCAAAAAGTACATCAATGAGTGCCCCTCCGAAGAGGTTGTAGAGCGCGCCGTCGAGGCCGCTGGCAATGCCTCGACACCGTCCAGCCCAGGAGCTGGCTCGCTGGTCTCTGTTACCGACAGCGGCATCTCGCCCCTCAGACAGCCGCCACCCTACAAAGCTCCGCCTGAGGTGCAGCAGTCGCCAGTGGCAGCACCACCAGCGCCCATGCCGGCTGCAATCGTCAGCAGCGGCGTTGTTGTACACCCGGGTCAAGTGGAAAGCTATCGGGATTGCGTTAACGAATTCACAGCCGCCATGCAACGCATTGACCCAGCGCGCCTCCAGTTGCAATCATCTGCCAAGCCAGATGTTGACACGAACAACGAGCTCGACACCGTTGCCGTTGCTGGTGCCAAGTCTGTATCCCGTGCCAATTCTGTGGACGAGACCGGCAACAAGGAGAATATTCCGCGCTTCTCTTTCTCGTCGGGCGCATCAACCGATAGCTCGGCCACAGACAAAGTGTCCGGCACAGAGGCGGGCGACGCGGCTGAGAATCCCATCAGCGTTAAGGAAGCGACACGTAAATTCAACCGGATGGCATCCGAAGAAGAGGCTAAAATAATATCACCGCCGCCCAAGAAAAAACCAGAGAAGGTATGCTTTTTATATACCCTTGGCCCATTGCAAATGGGTATATTGTTGTGGAAATGTTTTTAATAGGTGCATGCATTTTCTTGATCATAACGATAAGCTGAGTCGAACTAGCCTGTTTGCATAAAAGGAAGCTATAATATTAACAAAGGTAGCTTGGCGTTTAGTTCAGGGTATCGCCTAGTCGAGCACTCGCGGTTAGAGCTCTCTTTCGTGTTTTTATATGTTCAACAAAACCGGTTAACATTGAGCCCAGCATAAGATGCGGGTGCGGGTGCGATGGCTTGCCAATGCCAGTCGCGCATCGTTGGTGCTGCGCGGCCAGCAGTTCCAACTGGGCCGCTTGTAGCTATTCCCCACTTCCTGTGGGAAGCATTTAGAGTGAGATTCTGTTGGTCGCGTTTGTTTCTGTGTCAAACAGAACAAAACCAAACCAAATAAAAAACGCACAGTTCTTGCAATTTGAGAATTTGTCTTGCCTTATTGTGATGATTAATTTTTCAAATTGCATGCCAAGAACTTTCCGAATTCCATTTCCGATGGTCGTAGAGCAATTTAAAGACAGATTAGATCTGGCCTACACTGATTCTGTGTGATTCTTGAATCTAATTCGCAACAAATGCGCAGATGAGGGTCTTGTCTCACACCAACGCGGGCACTTAGGCACTTAAATATAGCTCGAGTGGAACTGCTGGCTTGGTCGCAACTGTCAGCAGAGTGTGTGTGTGTGTGTGTCACGAACTGCCACCAGCACATTCGAATTGTACAAATCCATTAATTTTATTCGTGGACAATAAAATGTAAGATTCATAACATTACATGCGCCCGCTGCAACGTCTGCCAGCCTGGCTGTGTGTCCGTCTGGCCATTCGGCCCATTGTCATCAGCGTCACTCATTCTTTCAGATATCTATATAAATATATATGTGCTTGACATGCGTACATGCATTCACCGACGCATGTACTTTGTAAATATATAACTTTTTTCATTATGCGCTGCCCACTCGCCTTGCCGACATTTAATCGAAAATGTTGCAGACAGTAAAGCGTAATTTGAATGCTCTTCTGTTGCATTAATAGTGGATTAAGCTAATCTGGGATGTAATAACAGATTTTTGGCACGCCCGACAACCCGATCAGGGCTCAAGAACCTTGGGTGACTTTGTGTGAAGTGCAATTGGAACTAGAGCAAAGCGTGGCGCGGTTCTGCCACAACACTAATTTATTCAATCCATATTCTTTTTATAACCATGTAGAGTTTTTATAGTATGCAACGCATAGAAGAGGCATCGTCTTGAAACTTTGCATAGATTTGACTTTTTGTGTCAGGCAGTAAATAAGTCGGAGCCAGCCGGATCGGGCCACTATATCGTATAACTGACATGGGAACAATCTTTCGGATGGGAAACTTGGTTGTTTATCATGATATCTTGATCAAATTTGGAATTTATTAGTTTCATTATAATCTTTATATATATACAAAATCCTATCAACATCGGACCGCTCTATCAGATGTCCATAGTATTATATCTTCTGCTTTTCACAGATATCCTTACTTTCTCTATACTATATTAAATTAGCTGAGCTGATTCCAAGTCTTAAAAATCTTTTATTTCAAATCAAGTAATGCAGTTAAACCAACTTGAATCACACCTGAAATATGTATTATGATGGCATTGCTGAAGTTTCGATTGCAAAACTCGAAATACTTTTGTGGCATTCTTACAGAAATCAACGGAGTAAAACTGAGTTTTTAGCTATTCATTGAGTACATTCAAGTGTGTGCATGGATAAATGTGTGGATATATTGGCTATACATATAGCCGACAATAAAAGGCGACAACATGTTAAAAATTTGTCAAGCGTTACGAGAAAATCGTTTCGTAGCAAATGTTTTTCGAGTTAAAGACGCCGGCAATTACCATTGGGCTGAATTGACAAACAACTGTCATCCACTCAGGGCTGTCAATCAAAGTATTCGGGCTTAGGCATAAAGCAAAAGCAACTGCATAAATCATCCCAGAACGAACGCTAGATGAATGTGTATGCGTCGTCCGTGCACAAACACGTCCAGACGGGGCGACAGGCTGCAGCAGTAGATGGATGTCAAACTCGGAACTCAAATTGTCAACTGCATGTCAAGCGCTATAAAAACTCAACACTCGACTAAAACACTAAGGAAAAGACTTAAGTGCCTATTTGTGCACACACACACACTCACAGAGGCACACTCTTGTCCACTTATGTGTGTTAAATTAATGTTTACATGTATCGAAACGTTTTCCAGCGACTAAAAATCACAGAATTTATGTTAGTTTTCTCACGTTTTCCATGTTTCCGGATTAATGTTGCCCAATTACATGCAACAAATATTTCCTCTATTAGCTGATAAAAGACGATTCTGTCTAGTCCTGAGCACAGGGTATTCACAGTCGAACAGTCGCGAGCTATACGTATGTAATCTAATGAAATATATATATAGTCCATAATCGAGTCGATATAACCATGTCCCTCCATCTGTTTCTATGCAAAGTCTCTTAGTTCATTCTTTGATCTGCAGAACGAATCATTATATCATATATTTCTACAGGAAGAATCGGTCGAAAAATGAGTTGATAAACTTTCCGTTTTTTTAACAATTCTTGACCAGACTCGATAATTATGTGCTTTAATATTACCCTTACATATCTTCCCAGTTAAACCTAGTCAAACCTAATTACAAACTTTTGAAATTAATCGAGTAACATATTCTCATATTCAGATAGTTTACAAACGTGCCCATCATTGTCCAAGCTGTAAACCTGTAAAAATTGTTAACAAATCTGTGCGCTAACAAGACAAATCAACAACCCAAAGTAAAAAATAAAATAAAAAAATTTAAGACGGCGCCAGCAATCTTTACTTATTACCATTCCAGTAGATCCCTCGACGGATTCTCTTTAATAACAAATTATTAATCATCCAAAAATGGTAGAAAAAGTGCCAAATCATGCACGAAAGAGTTTTCAAATGGTATGCATGTGCTTCATATTTTTCCCGCGATCAACTGACGCACATAGATCCATCAATATAGACCGTGAAATCTTGGCGCCGCAACTGTAATCGCTACGGGCTTGTTCTGCCTTGCAAGCTGATCAATTAAATTCGTTTCGAGTGTTTTTAATTAGCTTCATGAGTTGGCAATTTGTGAATTAAGGCAGCACCCACTTTAAGATATAAGCATTTTATCCAAATATATATCTAACGTTGAGCTGAAATTGATCTGCCAATAATGTTTATTAAACTCATCTGTGTAAGGAAATCAGTTACGTTTGACAGCTGTTTTGAATGTTGCGCTTATCCCTATGTGTTAACAACAGATACATTCAAATTATCTTCACATCGAACTAAATCGAGCTGAAATAGTTTTTGAAATATTGTACCCAAAGATAGACATCTTCTTATGAAGAAGAATTTATATTAAAAACCCAGATACATTCAAATATCGTTCAGATAGATCAAATTGATATAATTTTTCAAATATTGTACCCAAAGATAGACATCTTTTAAAGAAGGCTCTGTATTATAATTCCAGCTATATATTTTTGAACATTAATAAGATTTATAAATTTACAAATCGGACTAAGAGTTTAACGAATCTGCAGTACTTGGTAGTTAGGAAGGATGAGGGCTCAAATCCAAGAATTCTGTCTAAGACCTTCGCTCTTTAAAAAGTTAACTTAGTTGTTTACAAATATATCTGCTAATGTTAATATTGCTAACAAGTTGAAAGCCCTATAATCGGAAGTTTAAACAAACTTGCTCAGTGCGACAATAATGTGAATATAATATATTTATATAGGATCGGAAAACGTGGTTCAAAATGTGACTTATTTTGTGAAAATGTGTTTGTTTAGACTCTGTTAAGCCTGAGTCATTGTCGCTTTAACAATATCAAGAGCCCCCCTCACACAAAGCTGTACATCTAAAGCTAGGTTAGTTGACTTTATATCCCTGGACATACATGACATAGTGTTTCTCCCAAAATCACTAAATTAACAATTTTAAAGGACAGTTGCCCATTTGTAGTGCTGCTTAAAGGGCAACGAAATGAAGCCCGACTGCAGCATCAAATAGACCACATATATTTTTATTAACCCACAAGGTACTTTGGTGGCCAGTGCCCGTGTCCCAATATGCATATTAGGTCCAACAAGGGAGAGGAATGGGGGCGGGTTAAGAGAAAAACCCTTTTGGATAAAAACAAGTTGGTGAAACATGTTAACATAGCCAATAAGCAGCAATAGAAATTAGTTAGGCAAAGCTATACTCATCACGGCCAGGCGACCACAAAGGACCCAATTAAAAATGTAAGGAAACAAACCAAAAGTTGTTATTGCTGTTAAACAACAACGCAGTATGTCCCGAAGCGGTTAAATTTACAACAACAGCAACAATGTCGACCCATCGAGGACGTGGAGCATCAACCAACCGGTGCCGCCTCCGCCGCCCGGCATTGGCAACTTGTGTTCAGATCAGAGCGGACAATGGCAACGACTACGGTATACGGCATACGGCATGCAGCAATGGCAAACATGACCATTTTGTGGCTTCATCCGTTTTTAAGGGAGCCAAAGGTAACTTTTGGGTGGTGGCAAACGCAAACACACACACAGAGCGAGAGGACACAGCGCAGCGCCGCACAGGACATGGCACGGTCTGGTCGGGTCGGGTCCGGTCTGCTGTGGCCTGGCCCGGCTTGGCCTGGCATGGCGGAGGACAACGGCTAGCAGTGTGATATAATATCTTGCATAAAGGGACACAGGACATAAGAAAGCCAGTCAACAAACAAGCGATTGGGGAGAAATGGCCACCAACTAGACAAGGGCAGCCAACGAGCAGCAGTCGCTTCTTTTTTTCATTTTGTTCTACTCTGCAACCATTGAAAATGAGTAAAAAAATTGGGTGTTATGGTTATGTGCAAGTGTAAATGTAACAGGCAGAAGGTGGCGTCGCCGACCCCATGAAGTTCATATATATATATTATATATTCCTGATCAGCACCAAACATCGAGCTAGACTGTTATCGTCAATATCAGAGATTTATTTAGACACTTAAAATGTTGAAAGTAGGTAATACTATTGCCCGTGCAGACAGGGTTTTCTTCTTCAAATCAACAGCGGTGTCGGTGCTCGCATTTCCTACAAAATTGAACAAAAAACTTATTAGTAGTGGTAAACCTTCTCACTTAAGTCAATGTTCTTACAACCCCGAAACTTTCATCATGATCGGAATATAAACACCGAAGCTATTAAAAAGCGCATTTTTCTCAGTTCGAGGCTGATGGAAGAAGACCCACAGCAGCTGTATGTGTGTATTTATGTATAGAAGGAAGCCAAAATCTGTGTAAGTGCAGCTATCTTCTAGATACAGGGTATCTCCCATTCGCGACAGGGAGCTCTTGTTTATTTTATTTTACATGCTGGTTTTAGGGTATCTCCCAGTCGTGCGCTTTTGATTAGAGCACGCTTGTTTATTTTGTTTTACCCCCGCATAACCGTAAAAGGTAACATACCCATTGCAGTGGCCAATTTTTGGGTGGAGACTTGGGGCGGTTCGGTTCTTTTGTTTAGCATTGACATGGCTACTTTGCCCGGGGCCTTACTTTCGCAATGTTTGTCCTGTTATGTTTTCTGTTCTGCTGCTGTTTCAGTTTTTTGTGTGTAACGCTCGTCTCGCTCACCTTGTCGGCTATTCGGCAAACGACAAACGGCAATCGGCCTTCGCTATGCGGCAGGAGGCAGGCGGCATGTGGCATGTGGCATGAGGTGTGTGGCATGCGGCATGCGGCATTCGACATTTGCAAATGGCGCCATCGTCATCTACCTGAGCGGGTGGCTAACAGGGATTAGCCCCGGTGCGTTCGAGCACAGCGAGTAATTGGAAAAACGTGAGCACTCCCAAAGTCAAGTGGCGTGTAAATATGAAAGGAGTCTCGAGGGCAGAAGAGCTGTTGCATCCTGCGGCTAAATGCCGTACAACCATGTGTACTCGCATTTATTAGCTATTGTTACATTATGAAAAGCGGGGAGTTTTTTCGTTATTGTTGTTGTTGTTGTTGTTGGGGGTGGTGCTCGGCAGATACAGATACAGATACAGGTAAATAAAAGCTGACTCTTTTGCAGCTTGTTAGCAGCGCGAACATTATGCGAATGGATAATTAGTTGCCGAAAATGTTTTCCGCGCTCGTAAATATGAGGCACACATGTTTCCAGCTATTGTTGTTGTTGTTGTCGGTGGCACATGTGTGCCTGCGCCCCTCGCTCATTAGAGTGCTCATTATCAGTGGGAATGCGTGCGTATGTGGTGGTTAAACCCCTCCCCATCCCCAGTCGAAATGTGTAAATCACCAAAAAAGAAAAAGAACAAAAAAGAAAAAACCAAAGGAAGGAAACAACTTTCGCCGGCGTTCTGGAGCTCTATTTCATTTAGCGCGTCGCTAAAGAAAATCCAGCGCACAATCTGCCTAAAGCACGCGCCTAATAAATAAAAATTATTACCTTCATAATTATGGGAAAGAACATGGCGACGGCGCCGTTGTCGAATGCGTGCGCATAATTATGCCAGCTTTTACACACACGCCCCACGCCCCAATCTACAGCCCCCCCCCCCCACCCTTCCCCCTCCCCGCTCTAAGCGGCATCCATTGGATGCCGCAAAGATTGCTGGAGCATATACACACACGCACACACACAAGTCGACATGTGTGTGTTCTAAGATCCAAATGTGTGTTGGCGTTAATGCTTTCAATGGGCTTTCTATGTTTTATACCCGTTTCATGTCGTTCTTTCCTATATGCTTATATATCTGTTGTTTTTTTTTTACCACCTCGCACCGCCCCCGCGACTTTTGTAAATGAAGTGGCAGAAACATGTATAATTAATTTATGCGCTTTGGTACCCTCTTTTTATGTCTTTTTAGCAATTAATTGAGGAAAAGGATTCACCCGATGTTACACTCGCGCATCCCAAGGCAAAGGAATGGATTGTCTCAATGGCAAAAGCTAATTACCAGGAGCTCGCTAAGCTGGCTAACGATTATCCGGAGCTGGTTAAACTGCAGGTTAGTTACAATTTAACCACACCTTTACATTAATTGCAAGCATTTAGATAGGACTAACTAGGAAAGTAGAAATATCAAACTAAAATTAAAGCAAACTATAAATTTGCAAAACGAAGTTAACAAAGTTTGATTAATAAAGATATTATTTAGTCAAATGTGTAATACATAAAAACTAGCTGGCATTACCAGGCATTGCCCAGGCTAAGTTTGTGTGCTTTCAATTTAAGGCAAAACTTTAACAACTAATTTTTCCCCAATGAAAACATAAAAATCTGCCTGAATTGCCTTAAACTATATATTATGAGGCTCATTTAAAATGAATGGGTTTAAACCGTAAACTAATAGACTAACCATTTATTTGAGCTTGTAACCCTAATTACTAGATGCTTAAGATCAGGATTACGTACTATTGGAATTTGTTTAAAAACTTAAACGAACCGTCGCACATTCCTGTTTCGTTTGGCCAACTTGATAAGTATAGAGCGCATTCATTGGCTCGAATTAAGTAGCTCGAACAAATAAAGACAAGTACAAACTATTCATAAGCATTAATTACGACAAATTAAGCAGCAACGCGTTGTTTTTGCCATGTCGAACAACATTTAAAAATGCGAGAAAAATATAATGACAGCCGCCGCGGCGGTACACGCGGCACAATCGCGATGCCCGGCCCAGTTGCTCTGACAATTAATTGTGAAATATGTTTTCAGAATTTTTAGCACTTGTAGTGCATGATGTTTGGGAAGTGGGCGTTAGTTAGGACCGGGCCACTTCTCGCGCGTGGGCCTCAACACGCTGCAATTGCCATTAGGCAAAGGCGGCAGTCGGCCGGGAATACAACGACAACCAAAACTAGACTATAGCGTTAAATCGAGCGCAACTTGACCAGCAAGGATGGTCCAAAATATATACGTGCACCATTATATATTGTATATATATATATAAATATATGCTCTGGTACATGTAATTTCCATTTTGGACAGGCAACTGAAAACAAGCGTTTGACAGAACACGTGTTTATATTTGTACTCTCATCAAAATGATTTTAAGCAATGCTTTTTACACTCCGCCCACGAACTGCGCCCAGTTGGCAATTGTCGCTGGCAAAACACATGTTTAATCAAATTACAAATGTTAGACATACATAAAGTGTACCAGAAGAAATTAACCGGCGTCGCACGGGTCAAACAAATAATGTTGTAAATGCAAGTAGGACGCAATTGCTTTTGTATTTCGTGTCAACTTTAAACAACAAATCCGCTCACATTGCAGCCCAGGCTCAATGCAAACATTCACACGAAAGTGGTAATGGGAAGTTGCTGTCAGATTTGAACTAGCGCCCTCGCGATTGTTAGTCCGACGCTTACACAAAGACTTATGTTTGCAAAGCACATTTTGTTTCAAGTGGAAACTTATAGGTGGGATATTTAAACCTTAACCTTCTAGTTCCCTAAGGAACTCCGGGACTGTGAATTGATCTCCAATCAATCAGTAGGTCAGCGAAAACTCTTCTCTATTTATATAAATATAATGCTGTTATACCAAAAGTTCCGATTGCCTACGTAAATGTCAGAAATAATTAAAAAATTGAGTTAAGAAATAGAATTATTTTGACAGAGCCATGGAACAATTTTGCGGTAACTTATTGTTGTAGATAAATGTCAAATTAAATGGCCATAAATTAGGTTACCCAAGAATTATAAACAAGTTTTGTTTTTCTTTTCGTTTGCTCGTTTTTAATATATGACAGCACTTCAAATCGAAGGGTCGACATAGAGAAATGACTACGACTACGTGCGGGTGGGCGCCCTGTGAGAAACTCTTCGAATTTTCCCCAAAAATATTTGCTAAAAGACGACAACGTCTAAATCTATTGGGACTCATGCCGTTGCGGTGTCTCTCAATTAGAGTAAATTTTCGGTTACACCATGCCCCAGCATGCACATACATATATATACATACATATTTTTATGTCCCAGTTCCCCTACCAAAGAAAATTTCCATGCCCTGGCGTCGGCACAGTCGGAAGATGATTTATGCCAGCCGCAAGCAAACATGGGTCCGACTACGACTCCGATGGAGTCGCATGGTGAACGCGTATAAGCGAGCATTATGCCTCAACTTATATGAACTAATTGCCGTACAAATGCAATGTTCCCGGAAATAATGGATTCCGCGCGTTATATGCAAATCTTGAATGCCATAAGTGTAATCAATTAATATATGTGCGCATCTCGTCCAGCCCTCCCGCTCGCTCGCTCGCTGGGCGGCAAGTGTGAACGAATGGCAGGCAGCTCATTAGCGGCGCTTGCAATTCCCCGAATCACTGAAATCGCAACGAGACGGAAATAGCAATAAATCAGACCCCGATTGTCACATAACCTAATGTCTCAACTCGATGTGCTGGCTCTCGACCAATCTCTGCCAATTTTATGGCCCTGTGCATGCTGGTATCTTCTTATCTGTCTCATTTATGATTTCAAGTTTTCGAAAGTTTAGTTAATCAATTGCAACATATAATAAGTAGTTCTAGATAACGACAAATAATAGGGACATATATAATGATAAATTTAATATATACTCTGAACTCGTTAAAAATGAGTAAAAACCCGGAAAGACTGCTCTAGTCGGACCCTAGGGTATACCCAGAGCCTACTTTCACCAACAAGCTGATGCTGATCAAGGCTATATATACTTTTTGGATGGGAGATGCTTCCTTCTGCCTGTAACATACATTTGTACAAAACAATTATACCCTTTTTACCCCATTTCAATTGATTCAGCGTAAGAAAATTCACGATTTTATGCGACTCTTTTCGTCATCGTAGACCTGACTGCACCAATCTCCACTTTCAGCTCCTACCATTGTTTGTTTTTATTTCATTTTAAAATGTTTTATTATTAATACATATGCATTTCAGTTAGATGTTAGTTTAATTGTCTGTTGCCCGCAGTTAGAAGTTGTTTGCATTCCAAATTTAATTAAATTTCTAGCCTGCAATACGCAATCAGCGGCGCGAGAAGCATTCAGACTAGTTTCCAATGGATATTAGAATTCAGCTACAGTCTAGGCCTTGCTTCGAACATGCTGAACATTTTCAAGTACTCACTCTTCACACACGGCATGCAAAACGTATGATACCTCCTATCTCTATATATGCAACCCTTCCATCTAAATATCTAGCATATATGTGTCTATTCGAAAAGTAGGCGCTTATAAAATGTAACAAGTTTTGTATTAATTAAAAACATACCTTCCTTTGGCAATTTATATCTATGTTTTCTGTTATTTTTCAATTCATATATGTAAATATAGTGAATAGAACTATGCATACTCACTTGCACTCAAAACGAATACTCGAAACATGCACGTGGAATGAAGCGCGAGTTTGACCATTGTTTGCCATCGGTTGGATTGAGTTTGCTTGTGCCTGTGCCTGGCCCGGCCTGGTCAGCTGGGTGGGGCAAACGGACCGCCCAATAGCGGACCATGCAACGTTTTGCCATTTCAGCTTGTAGCTGTTGTTGTTGTGCGTCCCTTTCATTCAGGCGGCCATGCATCCATCCATCCATCAACATGTTTGACCTAGCCGGCAATTCGGCTTGACATGCGAGTAAATTGAATTTTCCTTGTTTCACATTTGTTTTGACTTGTTTTTCTGTTGTGTGTGTGTGTCTGTTTTTTTTTTCCTATTTGATTTTGGCTGTTGTTCGAATTACTTATTCAAATTAAAAATATTTTTTTATTTTTTTTTCGCTGCATATGGACAATGACTGGGCACAAATATAGCTGCTGTTTCAACCTTCAACTCTTTCCTCTATTTATATAGTACACACTCGAACCTGTGTATGTATATTATTTGAGTAAATGTTTCAGCATTTTAAAGTGTGTATTAGTACGAACATGTTGGCAATGATCGTGTTAATTATAAACTTGCATACATCAGTTAGTTACAGCTTATGTTTAGACAAGAGAAATGTGTCCTTTTCTTAGCCGCAAGCTGATATTTGCAAACAATTATATTCATATTTCTTAGAAACTATTATGCACAATTTTCAATGTCCAAGAAAAATGCAAAAATATTTTGATTTAGAAAAAAATTACAAACCATAGTTTTAAAATGTGATTCGGTCCAGCTTTAGATTCTTCTGTTCTTTATGCAACCAATATGGATTGATATTCGGTTCATGGTAACAAAAATGTGTAATGCGAGCCTCAAACCAGTTCATTTTAATTAAAAAATGTTATTTTCAAAGACTATCGAATAAGTATATGATACCTCCGACCAGAGAGCACAAACCTGGCAGACATGCTCGTGTATACCCGAGTCAGGTTAAATGTAAGGCTTTGATTGCCAAGCCCACGCTAAGATTGTGAAACTTCATTTATTGGCTTACTGATGATCCCCTTTTAAGGATCCATCTTTACTTAAAATTTTGGTATAATTATAAGCTCTTCAACAAAAATATGTAACAAGCTTTTTCTCGACAGTTTTCAGCTGATTTCTGACATTAAACAGAGTATTGTGCGGTCGCTACTAAATATCTCATATAGTTATGTAGATATTTGTGTGTGAAACAGAGTTTTTATCTACATCTGTGCTGGTATTTAATCTGCCATACTCGGATCTCGGATCTTGCTACCCAATCCGTTCAACCTTTTTCACTTATATCCGCCTTTTCCGCTTTTAAGAAAGGCAGGGCAAGGGTGAAAGTAATTTTGCGGCGGGCGTCTTTTGATGAATGATATGGTGTCTTTCCTTGCCCTCGGATTCCCACTGGGCCAGCGCTAAAATCTCAAAGGTAAAATTGTAGAAGTGACCATGAACTTTTCAACAGGTCGTCAAGAACAGCAATAAAACGTCTGACACCTTTGGCAAAGACACAGAGCAGCCGTATTATAATAAAACTTAACCCAAAGCAAATGTCATCGGCGGCAGTGGCGCCCGTTTCACCAAGTGTCTTCTAATTCTGTCCCCATGAAGAAACATCAAAACGAA